ACATTGCACCGAATCTGTGTTGAAGTTGAACTTCCCCTCATGCTTTTGGCAGGGAATTTAATGGAGGATAATAAATTTTTTTGTACATTTTTTCTTTTTTAAAAAAAACAAAAAGAAAACCGAAGAAGAAGAGTTTGTAAAGTGAACATATAAAAGATGATAGCTAAGCCCTTCTAAACAGAAAAGGAAGGGAGTGACAGATCATAGCTGTGCCAACAACCTAGCTCAAAAAGGAAACTTTTCAATGATGAAGGCAAATACCATTAAATGGAAAGATCACCCCACATATAAATATTATCTACCTTTTGAGTTACCATATGCATAACGCTTTGTGAGTTTAACAGTACAAAAATTTATAATTTCTTTTGATGAAAAAGGCTAATTATTATTTCCTCATATAAGCATCATCACCTACATGATTTTTCTTTATATACAAACAAAGGACTTGATTGTGGAATGAGATTCACTATTAAGAAAATAAATTTTAGAGCAATTGCTTTTAGTCGTTTGACCTCAAATAAATATGATCATAAATAACAAAATGACTATGTTAAAGAGAAGAAAAGATAAACACTGCAAAGGGGGAAAAAGTTATGAACGAAGTGGGGGGATAAAAATCCAAGTGTCGGCTTGCCCCCCCTTGGTGTTGAAGTCTAGCCCTACGTGCTCTTTATTAGGTTCCCTAAAATCAAACAGTGTCTATGTGTTGAGATCAAGAGTTTAAAAAAAAAAACAAAACCCCAAATCTTAGTTAGAGATATGCTACAAGGGGGAGGAAAAAGTACTATATTCATTTGAATAAATGGAACTTAAAGATATTAAATCTTTATTTTTAAAATTTATATAAATTTCATCTTTTCATTATTAATTTCAGATTATTCAAGATCTCTTCTTTATAAGCAAAAGGATGTACTCAACATAAAAAGTTCCATATCTATAGAAAAAAATATCAAAAGAACAAGTATGAAAAAGTATACTATATTGGTAATTGGTTTTGTTTTTCTTGGGAAAAATAGGGACATATACAAGCAATATGGATGAGGAATAAAAATCGAAAAGAGAGGAATGCGTGTACCCGTGAGTGGTTTAGGATCCAAAATCAAATTAACAAATCATAAAGTTTAGGAATGGCCCTAGCAGGTAGCAGCCACCTCCATCTCTATGTACAACAAATTAACACACTTTTCGCATTTTGCATAAGCTAATGCTAATGCTAATGCTAATGCTAATACTAATACTAATGCGTTATATATGGATTTCTGCATTAATCCACAATATGGACCCCATCATGATAATAAATCCCTAATACAGTCCGACCAGCAATTAACACCAAAAGGTAATAAAGCTCTCAATGAGGAAGTGCCCTACCCAAAGAAAAAGCTCTCCCAGTAGCGGACTATCTTAAAGCAGAATGCTTTAATTTTTTTTTTTAATAATCTCCTTTATTGTGCGTCTCCACAGCCACTTGGGGGTGCCCATTGACAAAAGAAAAAGTTTTCGATAAGATAAATCCTTTTGTACCATTTCAGTTTTAAGTCTGAATTAAAAAAGAAATTAACATGATCATTTATTTCATCATATCAATCAATTCAAAGACAGTGAATTTATAAGATAAGGCCTAAATTGGTACTAATTGTAGCATATATTTCCTTCAAAAAAAAAAAAGAAAGAAGAAGCAAGTAATGCAATTTAATTGCTGACACGTTCTATTTATTTGCTTAGGTTCTGGCATTTTCCCTACTTGCGCCTGAAAAATACACAGCAATTCTGGGGCAATATGAAAATCTGACACTTTGCATCAAAATTTCTGAACTTGATGGTTTTCATGGTTGAAGATTTTGCAAAGTGTGTACTACCTTTTTTGCTTTTCTGTTAATAATTTCTATATGTTTGACGATAGAGACATTCGTGGCTGCTGTCAGTTTTCTTTGTATAATTTTGTCTGTCTTTGCACATTTTCCTTGCCTTTGACATTTACCTAAATGCTAGCTAGAAACAACATAATTTTTTGTGAAACCGAACAAACATGTCTTTCGTTATCTATAACCAAATTATGCAATTTTCATCTTTGAAAATATCTTTAATACTGTTTTTAAAGAAAATTTTAAGATGAAATATTTTGATTTTTATTTTTTAATCATAATTTCAAACGAAATATTTTAATTTTTGAAATAGATAGAGGCAGAGGGAGGGGGTTTAGTAGGGGCCCCGCCTCCTCAAAGTTCCAAAATTTTATAATATTTTTTTGTTTTTATTTTAAATATTTATAATTTTACGCTTAGTTTTTAACAAATTTTATAAATTTGTCCCCAAAATATTAAAATTTTTTTTTACCTCTTTAAATCTAAAATCTTGACTCTATCACTAGAAATGGACATTCTGACTTAAAAATATCATTAATAAAAATAATAAAATAATTAAAATATTTTTTTTGTATATTTTTTCTCTCAAACAATGTAACCAATGACGGTTCTACTTGCCGATCAACCACCACACTATAGGTACTCTCCAAGGAAAAGAGAACCGATCAAGTGCTCCATAGGGGAAGGGTGGGTCGTCGGAAGCACCGATCTGGTAGTCGGTGCTTCCCTGTCTTAAGAGCACTACATCTGGTTCTCCCAAGAGAGGAGAGCATCCATATTTTTTCACATAAAAAATTATATAATAATAATTTAAAAAATTAATAAAAAATAAAATTATATTTTTAATATTATCACATCATCAAATAAATAAATAAAATAACAATTGATTAATAGTTAAATTTATATATTTAAAAAAATATTTTTTAAAATAAAGTATTTATTTTAAAAATTATAATTAAAAGTTTAAAAATAAAAGTATTTTAACAAAATGTATAGGATAATGTAAAGTAATGAGCCAGCGCTGCACCTAATAATTGATACTCTCTGTGAAAAAACAGGTTTGTAATAATCTCTGAGTAAAAATCCACCGAACATGTTATCCTCACAAAACACAAATATAACCAGATTCGGAAAAAATTCCGACCCATTTCCTGCTTCATGCATCTCATGCTCCATTAGGTGCACTACATATCAAAGGCTAATTTGACCCAAATTTTAACGAACAACCAAATTAGATGGTACTGCCTCTCTATCTTTATGACCCAATCTCAACCTCTATTATTACAAGAATGCAAAGGAGCAGTATAGTCCCTTTGCAGACAGAATTATTGGGAAAAAAAAAAACTAGCTAGCGGTCCACTAGGGGAAGGCGTGTGGGAGCAAATTTTTCCATGGACCATGACTCTATTATCAACATCAAAATAAAATAATTCCATCATATGGTTTTATGGACATAATTATGAGGACTTTCTGCATTTCCATTCTATTTTTCTTTAAGTAATAGTGAAGCAAGATAGTTTAGAAAGTACTTTCCAATAATTTCGTCACTGAAGAGTAGTGCAGATTGAAGACCCTCCCCCTTCTAAAATATTCAATCTCGTGCTCATGTCTTGTAAATTATAATTGTAATTTTGGGAATTTCGGATAGTTTAAAAAAACATCAAATTGTTGAAATGCATGATTAAGACGGTAATCCTCGATTAAACTCACAGATTAAAATTGTGGAAAACGATTTTTAAGTTGTTACCATCATAATTATCATTGGGTTTGAGGTTGATGTTCATAATTATGCACCCGTGAGGGAATTGCAGTGTCCAATTACCTTTTATCACATCGTACCCCGGTGAAAAGGAGAGGGGAGGGTGGAGAAATTCTGTTCATTTTCCGGGTTAGTTGTACAAACAAACATGAACAAAAAGTGTAGATATTTTTCAGAAAAAGTGGTGGTAATACCTAGCGTTAGTTGCGTTACCATAGTTCCCACTTCATATTTAACACGTTTCTATAGGTAGGTACCAAAAAAATAATCCATGTTATGACGCTGCTTTTTGTTTTTCCCTTTTCTTGTTTGGGTACAATCCGTTTAATTAACTTTAAAACGGTCTACCTAATTGTAAATAACATGTAGCTGGAAACAGTCAAATGAGGATGAATTCGGGAAATTCATTCTTGACGAAAAAGGCACTTAAGAATCTTGAACAAATTTTGGAAAACGAAGGGAAAAAAAAGGAAACAAGGCAAAAGAAAATCTATAGATTTAGGAAGAGGTCGACAACAATGACTACGACATTGTTAGTCAAACATCCTAAGTTGTTGTAAAGGCCTGCCTAATTACGTTAAATGCTGCTTTTCTGCGACATTCGAGTCTACCATTTTCCACATTTCAAGCAACCTTTAAATAATTGACTTTCAGTTTCTCGTACACCGTAGAACAGTTTACTATGTGTGGACTTCTTAGCTAAGATTTCTATGAGCAAAATCTGGACGAGTTTTAATATGAATCTTATACATTAATTTCATATTCAACGGCATGGAAAATGGACTGGCATTTCAACAAAAAGAGAAACATTTTTTTTAGCAAAAAAATATTATTTCTGGAAGAAAAGGAAAAGAAAAAAGGCGGAATCAATTCAGATGCTAAATTGGACATATATTGTATTACGCAATGTGATACGGCAGAAGATTAAATCTCACCAACACAGAAACCCGGTAATTAATTCCTCTATTCAAAATTTGAATAAAATCTTTAACAATAAAAGCTGGCAAACTTAATCTTTGGACCATTTCCAATTAATACTAATAAATGTAAATAGAACTTGCCCCCAATAATCTTATCATTAATTATACCCTCCCTTTGTAGCCTGCAATTTTTTTTAGCTTTATAGACTGTACTTTGCGGCACCATAACTTATATGAAAAAAGAATTACTTGTAAACAAAATAAAATAAGAGGGCCTCCATTTCACACACGAACGGCACCGACTCGGACTCACTTGACCGGCCATCACCGTAATTTGCGCCAGCTCGTGTGGAGGCAAAAGGAATGCCACGGTGGCACTTTCAGATTTTCACACGTGATGAACAGTATCGCTTGCCACGTAATAATAAATGAAGTAATTAAAATGGCGAGAAAAGAAGAGATTAAAAAAGCTTATGTATTTTCCATTCCTCCGTCAAGATTATAAGTACGTTCGTTAACGACAGCCTAATTATTTCTAACAAACAAATATCAAGGAAAAATAAAATCGCAGCAAAACTCCACTCAACTCTCCGTTTATTTTAACGGAAATATTTAAACAAATAAATAATATTACATAAAAGAAAAAACAATTGTAAGTAGAGCCCCAATTCTTTTTTGGTCGCCACCGATCCAAAATCTGCCGAGTTATCGGCAAGCAAACGGCGACGACATTCTCTCCAGAAAAGGGAACTAAACTTTCTCGCTCATAGTGCCACGAGAGGGTCTGAGAAGAACAAATCGCCGATGTCTTCAAAATAATCGTCCACTTGAGAAATAGACGATGACGAGGAGCAGCCAAAATCTTGAGGGGTGTCGAGTAACATGTTACTAAAGTCCTCACTGAACACGCTACTTTCAGGCAAGATCGTTGCAGTATCATCAAAAAGCGACAATCCCGGGACTGGGATGTTGAAAAACTCGTCAAGGAAAGGGAAATCGAGTGGCAAATAATCTCCCGAGTCATCGGGCAAGGTTGTTCCAGTTTCACCTTGACATTCGCTAAGAACCACTTGCTCCTGAACCGGTGGCGGCTTACTCTCTTCTTCTTGGAGTTCTTGAACCGGGTTTTCCGGTTCGACTGCCGTTTCTTCACTTGATTGAGTTCGAAAGTTAAGAACTGAAGTTGGAGAAGAAAGATTGTGAGATGACTCGTCCCCGGATTCGTACCCAGAAACCGAAGCCACAATAATGTTTTCAGGCTTTTCCATATTTTCCTTAGCAGGAGGAGTAACGAAGTTAGTCAAAGCGTCAGGCCCTCGAAGCTTGATTGCTGCATTATCATAAACCATGGCTGCTTCTTCAGCTGTATCGTAAGTACCCAACCACAGCCGTACACGTCGAGCAGGATCTCGAATCTCCGCAGCCCATTTTCCCCAAGGTCTTTGTCGAACACCTCTAAACTTCCTACCATTTCCGTTGGATGAAGAAAGCTTGAGTGGTCTACGACAGGCAGTAGTGACGTTAGCGGCAGCGGCTGTCCTTTTGCGGTTGGTGTTGGAAACGGTGGTGGTGGCGGTGTTTTTGCAGGTGGCTTCGATGTTGATCTCGTTGACGTAGCGTTTCACTCTCTGGCGTCCAAACAAGTCAGCTTCTTCGTCGCTGGAAGAGTCCGTTGCGTCAGGGTCCGTAACGGATACCCGTACAATTCTGGGAACATCGGGGGTGGTGTTGTTGTGAGTACGGTCATGATCGGAAGATGTTTTTTTGGGTTTCAAGGACGGTTTTCTGAATATTTTAGTGACGTTTTTGTGTTCGGTGTATTTGATCGGACATAGGATACTGTGGTCCATTTTGGGCTTTGCTGCTATTTTTTCTGTTGGGTGTGTGGTTTCTGGTGGTCTCAGATTCTGTCCGTTGGCATCGGTAGAAAGAAGGAAGAGAACAAGGTCGACCCAGGTAGAGAATAAAGTGGGAAAAAGGCAAGGAACCGTGAGAGGGAAGCTTAAACCTCGGAAAGATAACAAAGACAAGGCTGATTCAGAAATCTGCCAAAAGGTATCAAAGGTTTCAAAAGCACTATTAAAATCTTGAAACACCTTGAAAGATTATGTTTTTGGATAGATTGAAATAAGGGAAGAAAGCAGAGAGAGCCAGCGAAAGAGGCCCTTCGACAAAGGAAAACTTGCCAGAGGCTGAAAAAGAAAAGATCTCACAGACTCTTAAAGGCTCAGAAAGCAACAGATATAAAAGCAGTGACTGAACTTGGCAAAAAAAGGGCAGTGAATAACTGTGGCCTTGTACAGGAGGTCCAGTAATTTCTTTTGGCCACCAAGTACCAGGAAGTTTCTACACAAGTCACTGTTGTTGAAGATTTCCTGATTAAAAATCTGGCAAACAAACCCCCACACCGAAATGAAAGCAATCTACCTTCAAACACCCAAGAAAGAGAAAGTGAGAGCAAGTCTTTCAACTGTACGGAGAAATGTCAATAAGAGTAGGCCAAGGTAAGGCAAAGCAAAAGTGTAGTCAAGTAGCAAGATGTGTGAGGAGCAGTGTTTTGGTTGCGGTGGAGTCCCAAACACTGAATTTGCTGTTTTATAGGATCCCAACAGCCGGAATTGGAAAATCCTGATTATAGTACCGTCCCATAATTAAATGGTTATATTTTATTTTTGCTAATTTTAATTATTCTGATTTTACTTTTACAAATATATTTTCTTAGGTATACGTCTTTTTATAATCACAGGCAATTAGGATGGGTTACGTCTTATCTCAACGATTGGTCTTTCACCGAGGATTCCGGTGAGATACAGGCCGCCGCATCCCGATGGTGGTGTCCGATTATGACACGTGGTTATTCGGGTCCCGCTGGTGGACTTTGGCCCAATGAGAGACCATCGTATGCTGCTGACTCAGCGTATGGCTCAACTCTCGAACTGCGTGATGCCAGTCACGTGAGGCCCAAGATACCCGGCTCTCCTAAGGTCATTTGTAGTCGGTCAAATTGTTTGATTCGGCAAAACACCGCATCACCTTTGACCACTTAAAAGCCTCGCCCCTTTGTTAATCTGGCCCCCCATAATTACTAATTAATCTTAGGTAATAAAGTTAATGACTCGAGGGTACTCTGGTAATCTGCTACTGTAGAACACTTCAGTTCTTGCTGGCTTGTTCAGGCTACTTATAGTATATACTGGTACTAGTGTAATTTTTTTACCTTATATAAAGTTTCAACTGGAGAGTTTCCTTTTTTATTTTTATTTTTTTAGATTCTGGGGATGTAATCTTTTTAAATTTACTTTTTAACACAGCTAGAACTAACGTGGCGGGCAACCTAGAATTGGCCGCCATTTATAAATCCGTTTTGTACGTCTCTGGGTTTTTTCTGTTCTCTTTGTTTCTACTATCAAGACATGCGCTTCCCACACGTCTTAAGGTCGGTGTCACACACGCTCCAAAATACAATACCAACATTAACGAAAAATAAAAGGCTTTAAGCCTTATTTTCTCTGAAATACAAAGAATATACGCTACTAAATAATTGAAGGAAAAGCAAGTCCACTTTTATTTTTTTCTTACCTTATTTTTCGGCCTTTTTTGTCTCTATCGCCAACCTTTTTCTCGCAACATTCTCCTTCCCTATATAAGGCTGTCGACAATTCAAAAAAGAACATTGACTAAAAATATATGAGTGGTAGTCATAATAAATAAATGAATGAATGAATGAATAGACCCAAAAAACTTACGAGAAACGTTGGTTTGACATTTTTAGTTTCTTTATTTTTGTGGTACAGCTTTCACTTTTCTTTTGCAGTCCAAAAAACAAGCGCTCTTCGCTGCGGCGCGTAACTTTTGCCTATGCTGATTGTATCGCACCATCCCATTAGTTCTCACCAAACGGTCCTCGTCGCCTCTTCTTTCTTCAGAGGTAAAACTGAAATTGTCTTTCTTCCTTCCTGTTAGTCTGTGCATTTATTTCAGTTCTTTCCTAAATAGATATCCGTACTTTTTTTTTTCGTTTATTAACCACACCACACGACATGTATCATAATGGGTGTTGACCACATTCCTGATCAATTTAATTTTAAAATATTGCGGACGGTCTAACTTCCAACCATAATTGTCTTTCTTCAAATTTTGCTTACTTCATAGTCTCCTACACCAAGGCTGTTAATTCAAAAAAAGAAATATGAATCACGTTATAATAGATGGATTCACGAGAGTGCTAAATAATTTTAGCTTTAAATATAACTATAAGTGATAACAAATGATGACAAAGTTGGGTGGTTTATTTTTTCAACACTAAATTAAAGCATTAACATGCAAACCTGCCTATGTAGTAACTTAATTTTTTTACTTATTTAGCCAAAAAAAAAAAAAGAAACTTGCATGTTTATTACTTATTAAGAATTGCCTTTGGGAGTTTGGGTATTCATTATTTAAGTGGAGCGACGTGTAGTGAGTAAGTTACCATAATAATTACTATTAAATTAATTAAAAAGTTGGCAATTTGCATGAGCTAGTAGATCTATAGATTTGAACTTAATTTTCCCTTTCTGTTTCTACCCCTTCCTTTCCCAAAATAGAAACAGGGTTTAAAATGATTGTGTGGGAAAAGCATATATGCGAACGTTGACTAGAAATCTATTAGCAAATGGCTTGCATGATTGTTTCCCATTCATGGAAAAACTGGAAAAATCTTAGATTTGGACGTAAAAGGTTGAAATTTTAACCAAAATAATTTCTGATCACAGGTCTCAAACTCAAGTATACCTTCACTATAGATTAGTTGTGATCAAATGCTTGTTGTATAGTTACTTTGTGATGGTGCCTTTACCAGATCAGTTTGCATCCTTGTGTCCATTTGAACAAAGCAAATAATCCTAAGTATATGTCCCTATAATCCCAGCAATATGTCACCATCGATTTTACATTAATCCAAAGTAAAAGCTCCGAGGATTGAGGAAGTAACATGAATTAGAGTATCCAATACAAAACAGCGAGTTACGATATTATCTTTCCTTGAACAAGGAAGACAAGGATGTTTTGCCTCTTGAATATATCCTTTTGACCTTAAAATTGTAACGGAGTAGCTTCAAACTGAAGCAAAAATCAAAACACCCCACATACGGTACATGGAACAAAAAAGCCGACCGTTTTGTTTTCTTTTATCCAATACTTTTCTCGCATGGCTTCCTCCTTTTCATACGATAAAAGAGAGAGAGAGAGAGATCATACATTTTTCAAAAGTCAATTAAGGGGAGATGGCCCTCATTGATTGGTTGTTAAGAACTCAACATCACAGTTAGGATAACGAATGACCACAATTTTTTTTTAACTCTGGAATTTCGCCGCTTTGCTGGTAGAGTTTTTGGTTTATATATCAACCCTTTGTGCTTAGATATATGTAATTAGAAACATTCTAAATAATTAAGCTTCGCGGTCGGTCAATATAATTTATATTCTGAGTAGTAAATCCAGGATTCACGCGTAGAAGGGAAAATTAATCTCAGAAACTATATGGAGCTCGTGATATGGGGGAAGGCGGTGGTAATGTTAATACAATGTTTAACACTGCTTGTCACATGAAATTCTTGGACCACGACATTAGCACTTTATATTATGGTTTTTTATCAACTTTCACTGGCCCATGTGCCCTTCATTTCTCCGTACTCTCCCCTTTTAAGTTCGCATCGTAGAACCTTAATTTGTTGTATCCCACTCCTACCCCATTCTCAAAACTCAAAAATCATTTCGGAAAAGTCTTAACAAATCCAACACTCCCCAAATGCGATCCATACATGATTTTAACGTATAGTCGGTACATTGCTTTTAGTTTTCCTCTACAGATATGTGTGTCACCATGCCCAGATGACTACTCTCGGATATATTTATATATATATATATATCTAAAAGATGGTAATTGGTAATTGGTAAATAATATATTACATATTTTTAATAAATTTTGATGAAGATAATGTATTAATTCAAAAAATCTCTTAATATTATTTTAGTTATTCTTAATCAAACTATTGACACTGGACCCTATATGTATGTCGATAATTTCGATCATTTGAGCGGAAGTAACGTTTGGGTTTTCGACTGTAACAAATCTTGAGCAAGTGTAAGGAAATGGTTTTTCCTCTGAAAAGCCGCCCCACACAGGAAATTAATGCCATCGTGCTAAGGGGGAATGCTAGCTGCCATGTTCTTGGGAAAATAACCTGCATGAATTTTGATGGAATTACAGCTAGTCTGTACTAAGCATCTAGTCTTTTTAATGGTAACTTTAGAAATTACAAGCTGTGAGTTTATTTTGCAAATAGCTATCTATAATAAAGAAGTGTTGATCCGGCTGGCCTTCATTTTCAGTCTCAGATGACAAGTTGTTCTCCAGGGGCAGTCAGACAGAGAGAAATAGAGATGTTTAAAGATCCCATGTTTTAGAGCGAGATAATCATATGGATTAGCAAAGACAAACATCAAACAATCGAGCTGCACTCCTTGGAGTCTGCCCCCCCTTCCTTTCGTCCACCCTTCCCATTGAGCCAAGTGAAACCCAACATAAACCAAAAAAAGACAGCTAAGGCAATACACCAAATTCGACAAATCACCCGGTACCAGACCAAATTGGTGTTTGTTTGGCTTCTCCAACAGGGCAAACATCTACTTGTTTTTTTGTTACATCTGTTTGGTTTTTTGCTGAGACTAAGCGGGGGTAAGTCAATGAGCATCAAGTCCAAGACCTTTGTTTGATTCTTTAATCACTACACTCTAATCATCCCCTTATTCATGATTAAGTTATTCAGCATCAAGCCCCAGATGCCATTGGTTCCAGCGTTAACGGCTACTCATCCTCCTTAATGTTCTCAGCACTGCTCCCTTTTTTTGCTCAGACCTTCTGCTTATCTTTTCTCTATACGTTTGGCTTAATGCATCTCCATAACAACTACTAGCATTTACCTTGTTCTTTAACTGTGTCTTTCAGTTCAAAAGGTGAACACACTGAAATGAAAAAGACCAGTCTCTTAATTAGCAAAATGTCATATAAAATCCTGAAGGTATTCTCCCTCAAGCAACTATATATATATATGTGTGTGTGTGTATGTATTGATGTAATGTCATTGTCATTATTTAGCCATTATATTGATTGAAACATCACATGCAAATCTCATCCGGAATATGACGATAGGACAATGAATGAATACCATTTCATACCAACTCTTATGACTAATTGGATTGGTTTAGATGATTGGCTGAGCAGATAAATATCTTATCGCTTAAATTTGAGTATCATTCACCATATATATATATACTTCTAAGAAAGGGAAAATGCCTACTAAAGTACATTCTACTATATATATTTCTTTTTGGGGTAATCAAAATTAAAAAAGCTCATTAATTCTCCATCTTAGCTTCTTTAATTAATAATGTTTTCCAAATCTCGGCCCCTCCTCCCTTGTCTTGTTCCAAGCCTGCCCCGACAGAAAACAAGATTTGACCGAAATCAACTTAACGGATAAATTCAGTGCGTTGAACAAAGCTAGAATATAAGCACTGCAATGGTTGTTTTAATTAGAAATTGCACAAAGCCTGACGATTTTGTCTTGAACAAGAACAAAAAAATTTTGAAT